TGTCCACTATGTTTTATAATGCAAAAAACAATTAAAAATGCGAGAATAAATTGAATAACACATTTGATTCAGGAATATAATATAGATAAAGTTGTACATATTCAAGGTCGTTACAACTGCTTACCTGATTATCTCTCACGATATTCCAAAGAACAAGATGATGAGTTATTTGATATTGAATATGGATTAGGTAGCAAAAGTAATTCAATAACATCTTCATCAATATCTAATAATATTAATTCGAATTTGTTAGCATCTATGACTTTAAGACCACGTAAAAATCAGGTCAAATACATCGATGATTCCGTACTTATTCAAAAAGATACTAGTGCTTATAATCGATCCGATGATGTATCTAATTCAAAAAATATACATACAAAAAAATTATCATCAAGTATATCAAGAAATTTTTTCGATGTAACTAAACTAAAAGCTGCACAAGATCAAGATATTGAGATACAAAACATCATTCGAAATCTCAGTTCAACACATCATCAAGCTTCATTTGTACTAGGAGATAATATACTTTATAAAATAATTCCATTTGAAAAATCTTCTAATCAAAAACTTAAAGTTGTATATTTACCATCTTCAATGATACATTCTTTACTACGAGCGTGCCCTGACGATCCTATGTCAGGTTCTTATTTCTCTACAGACCGAATGTATTATAAAATTCGTAATCAATTTTGGTGGCCACGTATGAGAACCACCATTCAACGTTATGTCAAAAATTGTTGTTTGTGTATACAGTTTAATCTAAGTCGTAATAAAAAAACATGGTCACTTACGTTCTATACCTCTACCAGAAGGACCATTTGCTTTAATAGGCATGGACTATTGTGGATCTTTACCTAGAACTCCTCGTGAGAACCAATCTGTCCTTGTCATAACTGATTATTTTACCCGTTATATAACTGCAGTTGCGTTGCCAAATTGTACCGCAGAAATAAAGGCGGAAGCTTTGTTTAATGAATATTTCTGCAAGTTTGGCATACCATTAGTTATACTAAGTGATCGAGGATCACATTTTCAAAATAAACTGATGGAAAATTTGCAAAAACTTATCGGATATAATCATATTTATAGCACCTCTTACCATCCTCAGACGAATGGCGTTGTTGAACGTTTTAACGCTAACTTTGCAGCTCAAATATCAAAACTACAAAATAGCCAAAGTAATAACTGGGATGAGTTCCTTCAGGCAGTCATATTTGCTTACAATACAGGGGTGCATAAATCGACAAAGTTTTCTCCGTATAAGTTTGTATATGGTCGTCCTGCTAGACTATCTATACACGCACAATCGACACAATTTACTTTTAATAAACCTATTAACTATTTCGAGCAGTTAAAAAAGACCTTACGTATATTTCATCAGGCTTCTAAAGATAACATTTTACTTCAACAACAAGCCTCTCAAACATATTATAATCTTCATCGTCTTAATCCTCGCTTAGCAATAGGAGATAAAGTGTTAACACGTATTTTTGGGTCACGAGCTAAATTAGATCCAAAATTCTCATCTATACCTAAAATAGTTGTTGATATTCATCATCCTATCTATATAGTAGAAGATGAACATACACATATAAGATCACAACTACATATAAATGATCTTAGACCGATTCTTGCTATGTAACTTATTAAATTTTCATCGAATTATAAAGCAAAATATATATTGGCTACTATTTATTGTCTTTTTTGTTAAATTTATACACATTTTGCTTGTCTTTCTGTTCTTATCATTTGTTATTCTTTATAACAGTTTGTTTTTTCATCGAGAATATAATAAGTTTTAATATCAATTCTACCGGCTAAAATACAAAACCTATTGAGTTATATTAATTCTATATTATCGAATTTATGTAGTTCTAAGGCGCCATAGAACCATAAAATAGCTAAAAATTGTAATGGTATAGATAATTTCAAATGATTTACGTTAAGATAACGCAATAAGATCTAAATTAATCTTAAGTTTAGTTCTTTATTTATAACTTCATCTCATTATTAATTTTTTTCTTTTTTCATTTCATTCATTTATCTACTTTATCATCCTTATTTGATTCTATTTGTCAATATTCATTATTCATCATATATCTTCAGTTACTGTCATTATATTATTTAATACATTATTATTTTTCACTATGAATTCTTTACCATTGATGAAACCATTATTTCTCATCATTTCCGATAGCCATGGTAAATGTTTACCATCAACTATCATTACTTCATATTATTTCATTAATACCTATTCAATTTCCGGTCTTCAATGGGTAAATGCATATGACAAAAATTTATGTCTTCTTTCTTTACTACAAAAAGACCCATTCTATTCTTTATTATCTACCACATCTAATGTTTTATTTCTTGTGGGTACTAATTCTACTAGAAATTTGTTCGCAACTGAAATTATTCATCAGATTGACGACATATTTATTTTTCTTTATTCTCAATTCCTTCATTTGATACATGGTCAAATTATTATTGCTTCATGTCTTCCTTGTTTAAAACCATCGAGACGGTTCCCTTCTGTTCCTCTATTAAAAAATAATATTGATAATTATAATCAATTATTATTTAGTCGCCGTGCGATAGATTATCTACTCTATACTTCGAACAAATATAAAAGTTTTTCATTAAATATGAATAGTTTCCATTGAATTCTATTTTGATCATGGGAGATGAATAGGAAAAGATTGCAACGGAAAAAAGNTCTACACCAAAAAATGTATCAAATATCTGAAAATCTCTTAAATTCGACATTAAAAGGTCTTCATAACCTTTACCATTAAGTACCAATAAATCCAGTTTTTGACGGGCTTTAATTTGGTATAAAATGCATTTGCGATATCATTGATACTTTAAGTTGTAGAGGGGGAGACAAAGGTTATGTGACACCCTGTACAGTATAAAAATATCCCTAAGCATGATAATAAAGCAAGTTCTCGTTCAGTTAATGCAGTATTTCCATCTACTCTATCAACTGATGATGATAATATCAATAGTTCCGTTTCATCAATTGTTTGTCACATTTGTAATCACTTCGGACATGACACTTCGTCTTGGGGGCGGAGGGGATAGATGAAAAGAGGACCCATAAACACAGCCGCACCCCACATCCCACATCCTCTCTTCTTTAAAACACTACACATTTATTACAAATAAAAGCGAAACTCTTGATTTTCGAAACTATCATTCTAAAATTCTAGTATCGAACACGAAGAAGAATCCACAAATTATTAGAAAAGGTACGCGTTTAGGATATCTACTTTGTTGTTTAATGTTGCAACGTCCTCGCATCTTTCGTTCGTCTCTATATCGATCACTTGGAGCTACCAGACGTGCTGGTATGACTCTGGCATCCAATGATTTCCGCACAGATAAAAGCTCTCATAATTCTTCAGTTTCTTCTTGTCGTGCGATTTTTCTGCTACATAATTATCCACAAGAACCAGTTTTTACTCTAATTCCATTAGTTCATGATGTGGTACTTAAAAATATAAACTCACTCGTTGACAAAATTCAAGACGACCAACAGAAACAAAAGTTTTTGTCATTATTTATCTGTTTTCATAATATTTTCGATACAACGAAGCATAGTATTGCTCGAACTCCTATACCTCACGTTATTAATACTCTCCCCTCATTCTCTTCCTATTAGTCGACCATATCCACAGCCTGATAAACAAGAGGCGATGTATCAACTCATTCAAGAATTTCTTCAAGCTGGTCTCATTACTGAATCGAATTCTTCTTACGCTGCGCCAGCAATATTTGTCAAGAAAACGGATAATTCGTTTCGACTGGTAGTTGATTATAAACGAATTAAAGCCATAAGGATAAAAGATGTCTCATCTTTGCCTAATATGGAAGATACCATTCAAAAATTAGGGAAAAGCTTTAATTATTTTTCTAAACTTGGTCTAAAATCTGGTTTTTACCAGGTCCCAATCTATGAAAGTGATAAAGAGAAAACTGCCTTTGTGACTCCTTTCGGTCTTTACCAGTTCAATGTTTTACCGATGGGACTGCGAAATTCTCCTCCAACCTTCCAGAAAGTTATGGTGGACACCTTGAAATCATGTCGTTATTTCTGTTTGGTTTACTAAGACGACATTATCGTATTTTCAAAACTTTTTTCTGACCACGTAAATCACCTTCGACAACGATTTTCAGCTTTACAAGCGAGAAATTTCGTTTTGAATCCCCTGAAGTGCGAGATCGCCGTTCAACAAATCGATTATCTTGGTCATAGTAAATAGTGAGAATTGTTTTAAATCAATGAAGGATAGGATAGACGCTATTCTATGTAAGCAGGAGCCGCGTACTTTATCTGAGGCGAACCATTTTATTGGAGCTTTAGGATGATATCGCAAATTCTTACCGAATTTTACTACTATTGCAGCACCAATAAATACAGTTACTAACCTGACGAAGTCTAATCGTCACAAATTTAAATGGTAACAGGCTCAGTCTGATGCTTTTAAAAAATTTAAGTCGCTGCTCACTACTGCACCTCTATTTCTTCATTTTCCTGTTGACAATCTACCTTTAATTTCAACTACAGATGCTAGTAACATTGGAATAGGTGGCGTTTTACAACAAGAAATAGATGGCAATATCCATAATTTGTATTATCACTGTCAAATTATGACACCATATGAGAGAAAGTATAGCACGATAGAGAAAGAAGCTCTATCTATTTATAAATGTATTGAGCGTATGCGATCGTTTATATTAGGACGAAGCCTCATCATTATGACTGATCATCGTCCGTTACGCTATATAATGCAAAAGATAATTAAAAATGCTAGAGTAAATCGACTAACGCATTTGATTCAGGAATATAATATTGATAAAGTTATTCATATTCGAGGTTGTTGCAATTGTTTACCTGATTACTTTTCTCGGTATTCTAAAGAATAAGATGATGAATTAAATGACATTGAATATGGATCAGATAGTAAAAATGTTTCCATATTCTCATCATTACAAGCTTAAGATAATAATTCGAAACGTCATTCAATAGAGTCATCCAATAAACAAAATATTTTAGCAGCTGTGACTTTAAGACTACGTAAGAACCAAACTAAAATTACAAATGATACTACAGATACTGACAGCGACACGAATTCTCATCAAGAACTCGATCTACTATCTCATAGAGAAACTATTAAAAAGAAAAACATAACATCAAATATTTCACAGAATTATTTCGATACAAAAAAGTTGAAGATTTGAACAGCAACGAGATTGTGAGATACAAAAGATAATTCGAACTTTCCACTTAAAATCTAATCGACTTTCATTTGCATTGAATGATAATATAGTTTATAGATTAATTAAGTTAAATAAACATTCTACTAAACAAATTGAAGTTATCTATTTACCTTCTTCTATGATAAATTCATTGTTACGAGCGTGCCACGACGACCCGATGTCAGGCGCTCACTTTTCTTTAGACCGAATATACTATAAAGTTCGAAATAACTTTTGGTGGCCGCGCATGAAGAGCACCATTGAACATTACGTAAAAGCTTGTCGTTTGCGTAAACAATTTAATATAATTCGTCATAAAAGATCTGGTCAATTACGTTCTATTTCATCACCCGAGGGATTATTTGCTTTAATAGGCATGGATTAGTGCGGACCTTTGCCCAGAACTCCTCGTGAAAATCAGTATGCTTTTGTCATAACTGACTATTTTACTCGATATTTAACAGCAATTGCGCTCCCAAACTGTACAGCAGAAACTACAACACAATCTTTGTTTAATGAGTATTTCTGTAGATATGGTATACTATTTGTTATACGAAATGATCGAGGATCACATTTCCAAAGCAAATTAATGGAAAATTTACAGAAACTCATCGGATATAATCATATCTATAGCACCTCTTACCATCCCCAAATAAACGGAGTTGTCGAGCGTTTTAACGCTACTTTTGTAACTCAAATATCGAAGTTACAAGACACTCAGTATAATAACTGGGATGAATTTCTTCAGGCAGTCGTATTCCCTTACAATACGTGGGTCCATAAATCAACTAAGTTTTCACCGCATGAAATTTTATATGGTTGTCCTACTCGTTTACCTACTCATAGACAACCTACGCAATTTACATTTAATAAACCTGTTGATTATTTCGAACAATTAAAAAAACCTTACGTATATTTCATCAAGTATCTAAAGATAATATTTTAGCTCAACAACAGGTGACACACATCTATTATAATCGAGATCGAATTAATCCTCAATTGAAATTAGGCGATAAAGTCTAACTCGTGCTTCTGGATCCGGAGGAAAATTAGATCCAAAATTTTCGTCTATACCTAAAGTTATAGTTGAAGATCATCATCCCATATACATAGTAGAAGATGAAACTACTGGTATAAGACCAAAAAACACATAAGTGATCTTCGACCGATTCTTTCTAAATAGACTGTGCTTTTAAAAATACACATATATATATATATATGTATTAATACTAAATTCATCAATACTTTTATTAAATTAATATGCGTTTCTTGTTTTTTTTCTCATCTTTTCATTCGTTATCGTTATTATTTTTGTTGTTTGCTTATGGATATAATAAGTATTAGTACCGATTCTACTTGCTGAAGTGTAAAAGCTTGTTGAATTGTATTAATCCTCTATTATGGAATTTATGTGTTACTATGGCGCCGTAGAAACACGTAATTGGTTACAATCATGATGCTATAAATAGTCTCGAATGATTTATACTGAGACTAAGAAATGAGACTTAGAATAAAATGAAATTTAATACCTTATTTATAATTTCATTTATCAACTTTTTTTCTTTTTTTTATTGATCCATTTGATTATCATCATTAATTAATATTTTATTACAAATAATCATGATTCAGCATACTTTCAAAGTATTTCTATTCCTTAATTTAATACATTATTATTTATCATTATGAATAATTTATCATCTGTAAAACAATCAGTTTTAATACTTCCTGATAGTCACGGTAGATGTCTGATTTCCACTACCATGCCATCTCACTATTGTATTAAAACATGTTCTAGTTCGGATCTTCAATGGATTAACAAATTTGATCAGAATTTATGTCTTTTGTCTTTGATCCAAAAAGACCCACTTTCCTCTTTCATCAGATCAACGTCCCACATCCTATTTTTTGTTGGGACAAAGTTTGTTAGGGTTTTTCCTGCAACATAAATTATAAATCAAATTGATCAAATCTTAACTTTCATTTATTCACAACATCCTCATTTGAGAAATAACCAAATTATTATTATAACATGTCTTTCTTGTTTTAAAACATCGAAACCGTTTTTTTCTATTTCTCTATTACAACAATATATTGATGATTATAATCGACAATTATTATCTTTATCATTAAAATATACTTTTCTTTACATTGATTTACATTTACCAACTCATTCGTTAGGTTATGATTTGATGCATATTCAGCACAAATATCATAATCATTTTTCTGATATTATTTGGAATAATATCAATCATTTGGATGTACATCAAAATTTATCTACTAATGTTATAAGTCGTTCTCGTACAGCTATTTCACGACGCAAAAAAAAAAGAAATTTAAAATTAAAATGTATTCAACAAACATTTACATTAAATCATGAAATTTCTGAATTAATTCGAATGTGATATGAACTAAAGGAAGGTATTTCGATCTAAATTAAATTAATTTCCAAGAAACAGCTATCTTGAGTAAGTTTAACTTGCAATTAAGTTTCTGAATTTGAGAAGCTTTGCTTGAAATAAATATATACTTACTCTTTGGTTTATGTTCAAAAGTTGCGACTAATAAATCATAGTGTCGACGAAATGGTACGGAAGCTTTTGTATACTAAAATTAAAACATTATTCAGCTAATGTATATATCGCAAAAAACAAGTGCGACTTTTGAGTGTAAATGTCTATATTTGGAGTGAGTGAAGCATAGCATTGACGTCAAATATGCCTTTATTTCATGCAAATATTACACTCGTTTTGCTTTCTCCGTCTTGCAATTCTCACATGGACTTGTAGACAATGATAAAGCGTCAGCTGAATGTTTTCTAGCATATGCATCGTATTGCATAATTACCTATTTTTATTTTGCACGAAATGCCCTGAATTAATGAAATAATATGCATTTACTCATTATCTTTACTAATCCATGAACTTAGTTTTGATGAATTTAAGTTTTAAAAGACAATTTTCAAGTCTAAACTGATACTACAAAGAAAAAGATAAAATCTATGAAGGGACGACGAAGAAAAATGGAATTAAAAGATCATAATCTAAATGAACCACATTAATTAACTGTAATGAAACTGAAACAAGGAAAAAAACAAAATTCTGGCCTCATGATGTTCAACCGAAATTACCTCGTTTGAAAGAGTAGAAAATATCGGAGCATAAGTTATTAATTTTCACGGAGGTATACTTACAAAACTTGCTCAAACCCTTTTAAAATAAATTTATCAACAAAAGCAACAATATCTCTCGTTCTTTTGGTATGAGCTATCTTTCTGAGTCATTTTCTTCCTTTATATAGCTTTCTTTGTCCTTGAGACATCCAAATTTATTAAACTTGTTCGTATATATCATATACAGTCGTGACAAAAGAGAAAATATCGCCATTTCGCACACAATGATAATATCTTAGTTTATTTTAGAAATTATCATTAAAGTAAAAGAAATATTTGTTTATAAAAAAGAGAACACTTCTACGGAATCATACTTGATAATCTTTTTGAGTGAAGTATTTCTTTGAATATTTGAAAACTTATCTGTCGTTCAACAATGTTTCATGGATTTCTAAATATTGTATTTTTTTGTGTATTGCGTCTATTGGAATAGATAATTAATAAGCATCGTGTTCGAAATATTCGAGCAGCTGCCTAATTCGAGTTCGAATATAAATGGAGAAAAGAAAAACTAAAACTACTCGATAAATTTAGGAATAGATTTAGTTTTAGTTTAACTTTCTGATATATGCGACATATAAACGCACATATACGTCTCCAATCATGCACCCACTCTAACTGGGTNAACTATTTTTTATTCAATTGTCTGTAAATTAGTTATACTATATTCTTTGTAGCCTCACATATTCTAGTTGTTGAGAATAGTCAAGTTTTTAAAAGTTTCTATGAAAAATTTTTGAAAATTCCACAAAAAAGTATTCTTATTATAAAACTTACAATTTTTCTATTATCTCTTTCAGGCATATTTCATTAGAAACAGTAAAAGATAACCAAAAAACAAACTGATTTTCCTAAACATTCTAAAGTAGATATTTCTATACAAAATATGAAAATTTCAAAAATATTGACGCTGTGGGTGATCATAGTAAAACAAGAGTGAATACAGTTTCAAGTCATGGCAATTTCGCACAAGATACAAAAAGATATTATTCAGAGAAGCGTACACGTCGTTCACAAAAACTCATTTAAAAAAGAAAGTTGAAAATAGGATTTGACAGAATGTATCTGAAAATGTTTTTTGTTTGCAACGCAATTGAAATGATAAAGAGAACTGCATATTTGTTATACGCTTCAAAATGAGTAGAAAAAATCATTTGATTCAATTTAAATGAAATCATGTTTTAAAATATCTATGTGATCAGAAATATCTCGAGAATATCTTCAAGCATTTAGTTATAAATATGCTTGTAAATGTCACTAGTCTTTTATGAGAACATCCATAACAAAAACTTATAGATTATTTAGGATTCCTGAGTTCTCAGCTCCAAATATAACTAATTAACTTTTTCCTGTTTTTTTTTTATATCTTGAAATTTTTTGTGTTTCATTTACGTCGATAGAAAAAGCATAGAACTTCTATAAATGTATCCATATTTGACAATTATTATCCTTATAGTCTATTCTAGTAGAAAAATGAATAGAAAATTTGAAAGTAGCGAATAAAACGAAATCATATAAAAAGTACTTTTTTGAGAAAATTGATTTTTTCGTAATATTCACTGGACGTACCCTGAAACGATGGAGTAGATATGAGCTTTACATCAATAGAATAATTTTCAAAGTGTTAGTCGACATAGTAGACATAGAATATGCTCACAAGTCTTCTCTCCTTCACTTTTTAATGATCTTTCGAGCGATATCTTGCTCGAAAAAACTGATAATAATTGTATATGATGATCATTATTTGATACTATATTATTTATTTGCTGTTGTTGTTGTGGAATAATTGATGACGACGACGACGACGACGACGACGACACTGTTCGTTGACTCTATAAATATGTTATTAATTCAAATTAAAACATATTATTTTATACTTACTTCATGAGAAGCTATCACTTCTAGTAGATGATTCTGAAAGACAAGTAAGGTACTATTACATATAAAATGAAGTTATCTCGCTTACAACACGTATTTCGATTTTGTCTAATACTTCATCTGGAACTGAACCATCGTTTATTCTTTTGAGCACCTAGAAAAATATAAGTAAATTTAATTTGATCTTATGATAAGAACATAGTTTTATTACTAGAGAAAGATCATTTATTATTTCTTGTGAAAGTTCGTCCATTTTAACTAGAAACGACGTTAATGAAGGGAAGATTATGAAAATATGAAAGTGATAAGTGAAGAATAATTTGTGTCAAATAGTAACAGTAGTTTTTATATCATTGATCACATATAACGGCGGAATGAACAAAAAAAAGGCAAGTTGTACTGATCAATAGATAACAAAGAGGAGATGTCGCTCTCTAATAATTGTTAATTAAGAGAAGACATTGACACTATTATAGACCCATGCCGTCTTTTTTTTTCGAAAACCGACGGTCACGGGCAGTTTTGAAAACAACCACCGGTAACCGACGGTTGAAATCCAAACCGAAGGTCAAACGTAGTTAACCGACAGTGTTGTTTAGCTATTTTTACCAAGTATAGCTTATGAAAAGTACTAGGAGAAACAGCTAAAATACGATTTATTTTTTACTTTTTTGATTCAAAGTTGATAAAATAACAACATCAGCTCTGTCTCCCTGCGAAAAAACTTAATGAAAACGTTTCATAAAGCAAAAGTTTATTGTTTATCAGAGAGGAGATTTCTCGGACGTAAGTAAAGTTAGCAGCAGATTCGAGTTTTTTTAGCAAATATTCTCCAACAGACTTGTGCCAGACAAGATCGTTGTTGTGCCAGATAGAGCATCGAATATGCTGTGCAATGACTCGCTTTCAAAGAATTTCCATCGTCAGGAACGGCTGAAAAATTCAAAATACTGCTTTCAAAACACTAATTTTAGTGCAAAAATCAGTATTTTGACCTAACATTCGTTTCAAGACGTGTGCCACTTGCGATAACAATTGTGACAGATAGAACTCGACGAGATCTATCGAATGATATAAAATTCGCCGAGCTTCATCACATAGGCCGGGGTCTAGCAGGGCGACAGGTTGTTATAGAGGGGTTTGGGGTCCATATTATGAAAAAATATTCATTTTTAAAGTTGTGCCAGATAGAACTCGACGAGATCTATTGAATGATATAATATTAACCCATAGTTATCATCATGGTTGGGAGCTAGGTGGGCAACAGATGGCAACCGAGACGTTTACGATTCATATTATGATCGGATATTCATTTTGAAAATTGTGCTAGTGAGGAAAGTATTGGTCTCAGAGAGATGTCAAAGACATCTGGCAATGGATGTTAGACTACGCCATGCTCATGATTAAGGGCGGCCTTGACATAGCGAATAGCTTGTAGGATGGGTGTTTTGGTTCATGTTATGTGTCAAATATTCTCTTTGTCACTTGTGGATACTGAGAACACGACTCGTCTTAAGATCGAACTGAATGAGATTTTTCGATTGATATGATTTTCAATGGTATAATGAGCTCGCAAAAACTTGTGCATTGAGGTTTTTCAGCCGCATTGGGTTCTCTGATCTTTTCATTTGATGATTCGTTCCGTAATTCGCACACTGGTTTCTGAAAAATTTGAGAATCAGTTAATTCCATGGATAATTTGATTGTTTTTGTGATGGTTGGAACTGTGATTCCGATGTTAGTGATATATGTTTTGGCTACATTCGAAATACTAAGTTTCGAGTTACCTCATACTGAAAGTTGAAGTTTGGAAAATGCCGAGCAGTGATCAGAGTGTCTGTAAACTGAAATTTTCAGTTGCGGAACCAGCAGCTAGCCGAAAAGGGAAGTTGAGGCATGTGCATATGTGCTGGAACAGAAACTTGGTGAGAATGCGTTCATCGAAATCGGAAATGTTCTAGAAGTACGATAAAAGGTAACATGAACTTAGGGAGACCCCAGCTGGGCCGCAAAAGAAGAACTTCGTTTCATCATCCACGAAGTGAAATAAAATTTCCCTATTGTACCAACAGACGAAAGCGGTTATTTAGAAAACCAGTAAGTAGCTGATTGGGAGAAATGGGTACGCACTTTTGGAACCTCTATCGCCGAACATACAGCTAGTGACAGTGTTACAGAGATCAGTTTTCAGGCATTTAGCCAGATAATTCATAATTCCTTACCAAGTTAATTTCTGGAGTTAGTCACTGAAATTCCTGTTTTTTCATCATTATGCAAATAGAGCGAAAAACAAGCGAAGAGAAGAATTACAAAGGTAAAAAAGACGTGAGGCGGAGAAGGTAATCTTGTGATTCC